CCCCCAAAACCCCAAAACCCCTTAATTCTAAGATTGTTAGCATTTATTGATTATTAAAAATGATAATCAAAATTAATGAACGAAAACTAGATAAATGCCAGGAACTTATTTCTAAGCTGATTAAGCACAAAGTTCCATTTAAGATCACAGATTGTCATTAGCTAAAGGATTAATAAAGCAATAAGAGTGAATTCTCATCTTTAATTAAAGTAAAATGTTTCTAAATAGAAAATACTGATATAGAGTGTAATGTGTGAAGAGAATTTAAAGCAGAGCGATTTGGAAGTATCAATTTCAACAGATGGGACATTTTCTGGTCATTACTTATCGCATAGTGTGAAATCGATGGGATTAAAGGATTTTTTAGAATATAATGGCGAACTCAATCTATATATTGCTCAGCATCCAATTTACAATTCAAATTAGAAAGATAAATTGAAATAATTGCTTTAAAAACGAGGCTTAAATTATCCTAAGTACTTAAGATTCTTGAAGTCAAAATTAAAGCTCATTAATTTATGGGCATCTAAAAAGAAAACACTCTCTCAATGGCATTTTGATGCATATCTCAATTTCAATTATTGCTTGAAAGTAAGTTGATATCATTAATATCTCTTAGGGTAAAAAAGTATTTAAACTTGCATCACCAGCATCTAGTTTCATTAAGCCTACAAAGTTGGCAAGCTGGTCATCAAATCATGCCTAAAAATGGAAATTTCCAAGATAAAAATTTGTGTCTAGAAAACTAAAATAAATAAAGATAATGAATTTTCACTCCTAAATAAGGAAAATTAAGAATATTGATAAGAGAATAAAATTCTATAAGGAAAGAATGATTGATAAGGAGGCATTCATTAAATACTACATTAAGTAGAATGAATGTATCTATATACCTGAAGGATATTGGCATTAAGTAAAGAGCTTATAATAGGAGGGTTTATCAGTTAATTATTGGTTTGATGGATTATAGAGCCAAATATACGATTAAGAAAAATATTTGATAAGATTTAGTCTAAAGCACTTGATAGACAAAAAACTAAATTAATATTTGCTGAACTATAGGAAGTTATGCTAATCAAGTAACAATGGCAAAAAATTATTGATTGAGGATTTAGTCTAATCTAAGATACTTGAAAACAAATAACTATACTAAATCTTATGCGTACTTTAGAAGTATTTGATAATTTTTTCTATAGAATCTGGAAGCCGAAGAAATGCTGTTGCAGCTGATAGATATTGGCAAGCAGTCTAGATATGATCTAGAGAGACTTTTAGCATCATTAAGTGAAGAGTAAGATATAATATACTTTAAAATTGCTATAGATGCATTGAAATATTTACGAGGAAAATAGAGTAGAGAAAAACAGACCCTAATTTGATTCATGAGCTATGGGCTACGATAAGAAATGATGATACAATAAGAGTAATCACATTGTACTTTGAAAAATGCAAAGAGAAGTTAAGGAGTAAAATCCTGCAGTAATTAATTAAAGAAGAGTTCAATTGAAATTATAGTAGTTATTAAATCAAGATTATATTAATAAAAGTCAAGCTTAATTTCAATATCTATGCATGTCGTGATAGCTCATTTTATATCTAGTCTATATCATATATTTAACTCCATCTAATCTATTGTGAAAGCTGTCTACAAGCATTTTCTTTTCAGTGAAATTGATAATTAAATCTGGATTCTCAATAACTAAGACTTCAACCTGGTCATCATCAGCTATAATATCCCCAAAGAAATCATAACTCTAAAATCATAATAAGTAGCATCAATAACTTACAATATTTCTCAAGAAATCACTCTCTCCAAAAATATCTCCTCTTTTGAGTGTTGCAACATCATAGCTATCAAAGTTATTAACAACTTTGCATTTTCCTTGCATAATAATCATAATTGGCCTCTTCTCTATATAGTACTTAAGCTTTCCCCCAAAAGAACTTAAACTGTTAAACTGTTTATCGTTGTTCGTACTTAATCTTGCGCTGTTTGCAGTTAAAATATTCATCACTCCATCTGAGATGTTTTTAAACATGATTTTTCTGATTTGGTTGTTAAATCCAGTGGATCTTTTAATGGTAGTTAATAGCTCTGTGTTTTACTTCTTCCTACTCAGAGCTTTCATATAGCCTTCATATACAGATGGAGAAATAATTTTGCCAGGCTAGGCTATAAGATCTGAATCGTTCAGATTTTTCTCTATTTCTTTTTACAGCTTATTCTGGTTAAAGTCTTTGTAGTACTCTACCCAATTAAGGTTCAGAGCTGATCTAGGATGATGCGGAAGAATCATCTCTCCTTTCTCAAATCTCTTAATGTAGCCATATTCATAAACTATCCTTTTCTAAGTAAGAGGGAACAGCTATTTGAAGAGCTGAACATTTTGAAGCACTAGAAGTCTTATTTCAGTTTCTTGCTTCTTTTGAGCAGCTAGCATTTTAGTGTATATTTTTTCATCTATCTCTAGAATAAAGGCTTCTTTGCTGGCACATATAATCCAAGAATTACTATCGCATGATATTCCTTTGTCCCCCTGCTTGAAGCCCAAAATACTTCCTTAGGAAAACTAGCCAACAATTTTATGATTTAATCCTGGTCCTTCATGAACTCTCAATATTAATCTCCCATTAAGAACCAAAACTATTTTTTCTTCAACGAAAATGAGGTCTCCTAGTCTAACTTGCTTGAGGGTAGTTTTAGGAATAAGATTTTCTAGTTCATCTAGAGGTATATTTTGCAAGAATTTCAAATTCTTCATTGTCTCCAAAGCTAAAGACATATTGCTCCATCTACCTCTCTGATTCAAGTTATCTAGACTTGCTGATAATGGTATATCGATGCATATGTCAGTGTTATATTGATTTTATATTTCTAAGTAATTATCTAGATAATCTTCAATTAACTATGGAATTATTTAGAGAAAATATTTACCTTTTTATCTGTTTGCAGAGGAAGAATCATTATTGAGAAGACATACTTAATGAGCTATTTGCCTTCTTATAGTTTAAGCTGTCTCTCCAAAGACTTATATTCTCGTTCTGATTCACTATAGTTCCTTAATTTTTTGTGGCAAAGGGCTTTGAAGTAGATGAATTCAGATTCATCTAGAAAAACACTAAAATTGAATATAAGTTTTAAAGGCTTACGGGGTTGAAAATTCTGGCTTTGACTGCAAGGTTTAGAGAGCACTCTTGTAATCTCTAAGTTTAAAGCTACTAATTGCGCTCCCGAAATAAGAGTCAGCTTCATTTGGAGCTATTTTAATAGCTAGATTAAACCATTTCCTGGCATTGTTGTTCTAATTTAGATGAGAATAGACACAGGCTAGATTATAGACACAAGGAAAGTTCCAAGGATTTACTCTGATGCCGTGTTTGTAGTAATCTAGAGCTACCTCAGTCCCCTCAGATCTTTACATTAGAAACCCTTTAGTCAGCCAGAACTCAGCATCCTGGAACACTTGCTGCCTCGTCTTTTTGTTATCTGGCTGTATCTATTCCATGAGTAAGTTACAAAAATCATAGTCAAAGTTAGCAGGCTCAATCTCCTCCTGCTCAATATGATATGTGAAAATATGCCTGTCTTTTCTGTTTGCAAAGTTATTCTTAATTTTGCTTTTCAGCTTATCTTTAAGAAAGATCTCAGTGTCCTTTTTGTAGAATTTCACTCTGCTCGTCACATTTTCGTTTTGATCATTTTTATTTTGAGGAGTTACCGTACTTGCTATCCTCGGAGAATTCTAAATAGTTGAGAATCCTTTAGTCAAACTTGAATTTATTCCACTGTTAGCGTCTTTACTTTATATAGTTTAAATCTACTTGTTAAAATCTCTTGCATTAATATCAGTTAATTGAGAGTTATTTGGCTTGCTTGAGCTAGTTGTGTCGTTTTTGTATTCACTATTTAGTTTCGTTGAATCGCTCCCAAGCTTACTCATCAGCAGTGAGCTAAAATCCATCATCTGGTCACTATTAGTCTTTATAGTATTATTGAAGTCTTTCATTCTTGCCTCTTAAATTTTAGTCCTTGGCGACAGTAGTCTATACACTCCTATTCTCTTTCTTCTTGAATGAGAAGCTGACTTAGGATCAAAACCTTAGAAATTTGCATAATTCTTAGTCAGATCCATAAAAGTCTAATTTTTGCTATCTTATTTCACTGTATGCATCATTGTCTAGTCGAGGTCCTCTATATCAATGCTTTTGATCATTAGACTAAGATTTTTATCTTTATTAAAATTTGAACTCGTTCTATATTTGCCTTCTTGACTTTTGTTTGTTGAAGATAAAGTTCTTGTCTAAAGGGTAGACTATCCATTATTGGCACTTACTTGTTGTTATTTTTAGTGTTACTTGTCTAGTCTTGAAATGTAATCATTACTTTTTTGACGATTATTCTTTAACACATAGGTAGCACCGATGACTGGGTTTATGATAAAGTCTTTAGGCACCTATTTAAGTTTGTTAACAGTCCCCTCAATTTCAGTTCTGCTCATAAGCTCATTAAGACTGGAATTCATTCTATTCTAAGCATACCTATTGGGTATTTTATGATCCTCAAAATTTTCTTGCTTCACAATTTCCATTTTTCTTTAGTGCTTCTTCACAATATCGTTGACTTAATCCTATTATTAGATTGAATGCTACTACTGCTTTTTCTTTTAAAACCTCAATTGCTAGATGATATTTGATGGATTCATCTCCTCTTCTGATAGATATTGCGGCAGAGTATCAACAAAAGATTCAATTTGCTTGTTCTTTGGATATAATCTATGGGAATAAATAAATAAAAAAAATTACTAAAATTGAAAGTTGTCTATTAGTTTTGTTGGAGATAGCATGAATGAAGAACCTTATTGCATTTAAGAGAGTAATTTTTAGCCCTAACTGCTTGATCTTTGCTTTCCATTCATTATAGAGCTTTTCAAACTTATTGATGACTTGCTTTCACTTACTACTGCCTACCGCTTTTTGGGTTTTATTTTAGTTTGAGGACTCATCATTAGATTGTCTTCTCTCTTTAAAGCATATTTCTTAAGATTATCATAGACCACTTTATTGACGTTAGGTGGTCGATAAGGAGGAAGATTGGTAATATCAAGAGAAGCTTAAATACCATACCATGTGTCTACATTTTATTCAGTTATAACTATTTTTTTGTTATCATCGAAAAATCAGCGCTTCCTATGAAGACTCTTCAAATACCCCTTCTAACAATTGTTAAATGTAAATTCTAACATTATTATCAATAGGAATGGGACACGGTGTAATATTTTCTTAAATGATCTCAGTTTCAAGTTGAGGATAGTCACAAAACTAATGCGTTATACAGTCATTCTAAATAAATTAGTGCTCTATAATCTATAATTCTTACTAAAAGATGCTGGTGAGGGTACTTTTTATCGCACTTCAGATCTTTGCAGGTTTTAATGTCTCCTGATTCAAGTCTAATAAGCTCCTAGACATTTTTCTTGATTTTGTCTACTGAGTTTTCAGTCAGCTTTTATTTTCCTTAGTGTTTATCCCCCATTTAGTTCTTACTATTCATTGTAACTGAGTGATTAATGAATTGTGTTTTCATCTCTTATTAATAAATATATTCGTTTTATTAAAAAAATGATTTAAAATATTGTTGAATTGGTAATCTGGGGTTTTGGGGTTTTGGGGTTTTGGGGTTTTGGGG